TTGAGCCGGCTACCTGGGATTTGAACCCCAGGTCGTGAGCACAGTTTTAGCTGCAGTACAGCGTTTTAACCACTGCGCCACGAGGCTCTTGTTGCAAGCTGCCTTGGGTCCTTTTCAAGGAGAAAGGTGGGGTAAAAATATTTTAAATAAATAAATAAATAAATAAAAATTCTATTCCTACATTCTCATGGTTTTAGAGCATGACAGGCCAAAGTGTGGCCCTACAGGTGTTTGTGGACTGCAGCCACCAGCATTTGTGCCTGTCAGCAATGAGGGCTGTGGCTGATGTTAATTGCAGTCCAATAACATCTGGAGGGCTGTACTTTGCCCACCTTTATTCTAGAAAGAGATATGAGAATTTGGCAATCAGTTGCCTATGAGGAAGCCCACATAGGTAGGATAAAAACACAACAGCACTTGAAATATATATTAATTTACAGTACTAGAAAGCAAAGTCGGAAATCCCCAAATGCAGGTGAGGTTCCCACCACTCAACAGCAAAGGCACTGGGAAATTCAAACACCACAAAAGCAATCACATCTTATTTTTCCTTGCAGGATTAAAAGCAGCAATGGCAGCAAAAGAAGCTGTTTGTGGAGCAAGAATTCAACTAGTTGCCCCTCCTTTGAGTAAGCAGGCATTGTTTTAATTGCACTATGATTTCTTCAAAAACATAGACAGGAGGAGAGTTTGCCTGGAGCATGCAAAATGGCAGGAAAATCCAGGCAATGTCATCCCTTCTCAGTAATTAATTCAATGAGTACTTGGTCACATGTACTTGCAGCTGCTATTCATTACGCACCACAATTTCTATGTCTCTCTTGTCCCCTCTGGCAACCGTCCTGCAGTTACAGGCGAAGAGTGGTCATTATGTAGGGTCCTGCAATCCACATGTGAGGCCCGAAATTATTAGAGGAGAGCCATCTGTTCCTTTGCTTGGCTTCTGGCTGGAAAGAGATTGCTAGACTCAACCTAGCATGGAGGTGAAGCGACTGGAAAAACGACCATGTCTGCTCTGAAACTTTCATGCACAGCAGCAACAGATTCACAGAAGCTAGGCTTTAGTTTGTGGCAGTAATTTATTTTTATTTATTATACTACCTCAGTGACACCCAGTTGTAGGAATTTGACTTAAGCAGGTATGTTTGATTATCTAGGGATTCCTCAAGGATATCTGCTCAAGTCAGCAGCCCCAGTATTAAAAGCATATTCACAAATGGTTATTGTACCAGAGCACAGAGTTCAGACTCCTATCCTCTGAAGATGCCGGCCACAGAGACTGGCAAAACGTTCGGAAGAAAAAACTTCAAAACACAGCCAAACAGCCTGAAAAACCTACAACAACCATTGGATCTCAGCTGTGAAAGCCTTCAAGAATACATTATATTCACAAAGTTTTGTGGATATTGTACTATTCTCAAGAGTCCCCCCCCCACAGTATAACCCTAAGATAGTTAGCTATTATGGCCATGGCTTGCTGGGAGATCAGTACAACAGCATATAAAGTGAATGTTGAGCCCTGCCCCTCGGACCCTTTTTTTCAAAAAGATATTTTTAAACACAAGTTTTTAGTAAGTATTTTGAAAATACAGGTTAGCAAAGGAAACTGGTCCTCCACATGTGCACACAAATGCACAAAGGGGAAAAATTGAAGACACAGTGGCAGTTAAGGGAGGAGGAAGCAGGTGGTAAAAGGGAGAAGATGGAGAAGGACAGGCAGATGGGGGGGGGAAGATGGTTCTATACCACCTGAAACGTTTTTATGTCCTTAAAAACCAGAACAGGTTTGGGCACCATTTTGAACCACTGTACAGTTTGGTTTCATGTGCTATGACAGGAGTCACTGCAGATTCAGTCTGATCTTTCTGCAGACTGCGGTTTCAGCCATGCTGTCCGTAACATCTAATTTGATCCTTAGACACATTTCAACCAAGAAAGTGGGAAACCTGATCATACAAAAATGTATGGGAATGTGTAGAATGGCTGTGGCTTCATGGCAGAGCACGTGGTTTGCAGGCAGAGAATTCAAGTTTCAGGCTGGAAAATTCTGGCATTACTGGGCTGGATGCACCAGTAGTCTAACTCGGTATAAACCAGCTTAGTATATTCAGTTCCTTCACATAACAACTTTGGATTTACATTTCCCCACACCTCATAAATAGCACTTTCCCCCCTTACTGATATTTATCTTGTGATTTTGCTCTTGTAATGTGCAGTTTGCTCTATTCATATGACTCCTATCCTTGTTCTCTTGAAAAAATAAATGAATAAATGAATAAATAAATAAACTACTTATTAAAAGAAGTGTAAAAACTCAAGGGACAGAGGGAGACTGAATATTTTTGGGAAAATATTTTTTATGCCTTTTAAGGGTTTGAAAAACGTTTCCTCCTGGATCCCCCCAGCCTTTGCATGTTTACTTTTCCCATTGATAACAATACAAACATTGTCTAGTTAGTAGCATTAGTCTCACAATGGACCTCAAAGTCTTCTTTGGCCTGCTGGGTAGCTCAGTGATTTAGGTATCTGGCTGTGGAGCCAGAGGTTGGGAGTTCGCTTCCCTACTGTACCTTTGTGACAGGGGCTTGATTCAATGATCTTAGGACCCTTGCAGCTCTGCAGTCCCAAGATTATTACATCTGTAGCTTGCAAATTCCACATGTAAGCTTCAATCCACTAAGATATGGAGTCCAGTGAGTGGGTGTGATGAGGACAGGCTTCTTTAGACAGCTTGATTGTGGCCTACACAGGAAAGGTTTTAAGTATATTATGGAACACTGTGGCATTCACATGCCATTTATTTATTTATTTATTTATTTATTTATTTATTTATTTATTTATTTATTTATTTATTTATTTATTTATTTATTTATTTGATTTTTATCCCGCCCATCTGGTAAGTCAATACCACTCTGAGCCATTGCCATATATTGATTAGCCATAACTAGGGAGAACTATTTTTGCTGCAGTACAGCATTTTAACCACTGCGCCACGAGGCTCTTACCATCTGGTAAGTCAATACCACTCTGAGCCATTGCCATATATTGATTAGCCATAACTAGGGAGAACTATTTTTGGGGTAGCATAGGAGCTACTGGGAAGAAATCAATCTCATTTTCCAGGAACTGTATGGGAGAAGGCGCTGAATTTTTACTATTGATATAATTGTGGTTTTTAATTTAACTGCTGGAGCAACACAATATCCTAACAATCTTACACTGGTGTAAACACGTTGATGTAACAATAATCAATTTGGTGGGCTATAGAACTGAACAAAAAGATGTAATCCTGTACATACTATTTTAAAAATAAATCTATTTTACTTCAAAGAGGAAGAAAACATGCACAGAATAATTCTGTGCATTTTTTTCACAGAGTAACAGCTCTCTTAAATATCCATCTTTTTTGTGGTTAAAGTTTGCTTATCACTCTTATTACCTAATAGAAAGTTATTACAAACCACCAATAGTTCAGTTTTCAATAATATTTAATATAAGGCTTCTACAAAAAGCTCAACATCTTCCAAAAACCTATCCCTTAAAAACATGCAGTACTTATGACTACACTTGGTTTAGAGTTGGATTTTAAAATTACAGTTTGTGGGACAGACTCATGTTTATTGTGAAACATGATCCATTCTTGAGGAGAACTAGGAGTTTCCTGAGGATGAATCATAGCATTTTAGTGGAATGCCATGCTGCTTCCTTCTAGACAAGGATTTTTAAAGGGTAAGGAAGAAGCCTTTCTTTAAGGTTTCTAACATAATAAACCAGCCTCAGATAAGAAGCAGTCTGAGGTACCCACTCACTGGCGAAATTCTAGCAGTGGAAAAACAACAGAGATCATGAAGACAGTATGCCAGTGAGGCAGTCATGCAGAGACTGGAATATGTATGCACAGATCTAGTCATCAAGATAGATAGTAAAGAAAACTGTTAAGAAAAAATTCAGGTTTTATTAATATTTTGAACAGCCTTTACCAGTGTCTAATTTTTGGACCAAAAAGTTCTGATGAACAGCACCTGCAAGGAGCTTTGAAAGGACATTTGAAACCTGAAGAGCTTCCTTTCCTTTCCTTTCTTTTACCAGAGATACAGTAGTTGGAAAATAGGGAATGGAGGGAAGACCAATGTTCTTTGAGGGTTTTCAAAATGTAAAGGTAGTTTAAAATACGAATGACAAAAAGTTTCAGTTAAGAAACACATAATTTAATCTGCAAGGTCCTTTATTGTGATGCTGCTCTAAGCAACATTTTCCAAATAAAAGCAGTTATAAAGAGGCTTAGCAGATATTTGAAGGTATTTTGATACTCTAATTTTTCTTAGGAAAGAACTTGTGCAAGCGATCACAGCACAACACCTTGGCGCATATTGGCCAAGTATCCCCAACAACTGGTTGCAGAGCAATTCCTGTGATCTCCGTAGGGTTGTGCTTAAAAAAGTTGTTCAAAATTAACAGCACTCATTATAAACTCTGAAGGAACTTCTCTTCAGGATTACGGAAACATGAAAAAGACTAATGTCTTTTTGCAGGATCGTTCTAAAAAGCAATTTAACCCCAAAGTCCAACAGACTTCACTGGAATTTGGGTCTAGCAAACATGGTTAGGGTAGCAGCCATTCTAGCGCTCAATGGAATGCCATTCAACTTTGCTGCTTTGAATCCATTCCATTGTCAGACAACAATGCCTTATGTTCTCAAAGTATTTGTGATGAAAAGATCAAATGCCTCTGTTGAAAACATTTCCTGCTATATACATTAAACCAAATTTTAAATTACTGCTGCCCATGTGGTATCCAACTTCTGCTTGCAGCCTCATTTTATGTAGACTTCTATGGAAGCAAATCTCAGCCAGGTCAATTAGCCATACTCCCAGCTAAGTGTAAAAATAATCAGTTTCAAAATAGCAAAAAAAACAACAAAAAACCATTTCCCCCTAGTATTCATTGTTCAGCATGATATATAACAAGAAACGATGTAAATGATATACATTTCTCTTACCAGCTTCCTTTTCTTGTCCATGGTTAACAGAGTCTTCTGTGCCTTTATCTGTCTTTCCCCTTTCTGCTGTTCTGCAAAAACTTTTCCCTGTCCTTGTGAGCTGTGGGAGACGTAGCAGTCCTCCTCCGCCTTGTGTTGTTTGTCCACTGTATCGTTTGTTTTTGAGACTGGTCCAATGCAGATGAAGTCAGGGTGCCAGCTGTTCGCAGAAAACAATGGTTCAATGGGCAGATGCCTTTCAAACAAAGGAGCTACTTCCAGAATTGATTCTCTTCCCTGGGTTTTTCCCCCTCAGGCCCACACCACACATAACCTTTCCCTGAAATGACTCTGTGAAAAGTAGCATCACTTCCCCCAAGGACCTGCTTTTAAAGGCATATGCCTGGTATGCATGTTTAATTATTTTCGCCACCACCACCAAGTCGAAAGGGAGGTTCCCCAATCTAAAGGTAACAACTGCACAGCCAGCCAGATTCCACTGGAATAGTTTCACAGGATGACCTTTGGAAGAGGTGCTCTGAGCAATTTTCTTTAAAATTCCCTGAAGTTATCAACAGTTCAGACTGGGGGGGAAAATGCAAAGTCTGTATTATAGCAGGCATTCCCTGCAAACAACAAAACAAATAGATTGAGTCTTCCCCATGTAATTAACAGTGTGATCCTACCCATATTACTCAGAAATCAACCCCACTCTGTTCTATGGTATTTACTACCAATGATGGCTTAGGGCTATAATCCAAAACTTACTTACCAGGAAACTTACTCCACTAAACTAGGTGGGATTTTACTCCAGATCAAATGTGCACAGTTCCCATCTTATAAATGCTAACCCAGAAATAAGATTCACTGAACAAGAGATGATTTACTTCTAGATAAACATACCTATTCTGGTGGACATTTGACCTGTCAGATTGGGGGTGTTTTTGTGACACTCTGTGACTTGATGATATATACTGTGTTCATCTGATGTACCTCCTCTGTCTTAGCTTTTAATTAGACTTCTTATCATTGATTGGCTGTTTTGTTCATTCTTCCAATGAAAACAGAGATTAAAAGATATCTGTGTTCATCTAAAAAAACAACCAATAAGGAGGCCAGGTTAAAATCCAGTGATACTATCCAGTTATTAGAAAGTAAGGCCCATTAAACTAAGAATTATTTTTGAAAATATATGCATAATAAGATGTGAAGATGCAAAAACAGAGAGGAGATGTAAGTTGTCATGCAAGCCTCACTAGATGAATTTTGTTTTATTTTATGTTATTTCATTTATACTATTTTACCCCAGCTTTCTCCTAAGAAAAGGACCCAAGACAGCTTTGTTGTTCAGTCATTGTCATGTCTGACTCTTCGTGAACCCATGGACCAGAGCATGCCAGCCCCCCCCCCCGTCTTCCACTGCCTCCCACAGTTGGGTCAAATTCACGTTGGTCGCTTTGATGACACTGTCCATCCATCTCGTCCTCTGTCGTCCCCTTCTCCTCTTGCTTTCACACTTTCCCAACATCAGGGTCTTTTCCAGGGAGTCTTCTCTTCTCATGAGATGGCCAAAGTATTGGAGCCTCAACTTCAGGATCTGTCCTTCCAAAAATAGTATCAGAAAGTTAAAAACAGTAAGTTATTCAAAGATTTTTAAAAAATAAACATTATATTTAAAATGTTAAATAAAAGCTGTACTAAAAGAGAATTAAAAGCAACCAAGAATGCAAACCATCTTGTTTTAAAACCCCTCTTGGACAGCCAGCTGCCATGGAAAGCCTGCCTGAAGAGAAAAGTCTTTGCTTGCTTGAGGAAGGCTAGCAAAGACAAGGCCAACCTGGTGTCCTATAGGAGGAAGTTCCAGAGCCTAGGAGCAGTGACAGAGAAGATCCTCTCCTGTATCCCCACCAAATGCACCTGTGGAACTAAGAGAAAGGCCTCCTATAATGATCTTAACACCCAGGCAGGCTCATAAAGGGAAATGCAGTTTTTTAGATTGCCTCCCACAGTTGGGTCAAATTCACGTTGGTCGCTTTGATGACACTGTCCATCCATCTCGTCCTCTGTCGTCCCCTTCTCCTCTTGCTTTCACACTTTCCCAACATCAGGGTCTTTTCCAGGGAGTCTTCTCTTCTCATGAGATGGCCAAAGTATTGGAGCCTCAACTTCAGGATCTGTCCTTCCAAAAATAGTATCAGAAAGTTAAAAACAGTAAGTTATTCAAAGATTTTTAAAAAATAAACATTATATGTGCTGGCTGGGGTTTCTGGGAGTTGCAGTTCAACTCCCAAGGTTAAGAACCACTGGTTTAGAGGTTAGAATCAGCACTTTGAATTGTGTCTCGAAATAGAGCAAGCTAAGTTACTGTGACAGGGGGTTGTGTGATCCATATAACCAGCCCCAATTAACAATCTGGCTGCAGCATTTTGGGACCACTGAAGCTTCCAAACACTTTCCAAAGGCAGCCCCACTTACAGTGTGCTACAGTAACCCAGTTAGGAAGTAACTAAGGCATGTGTCACTGAGGCCAGGTCAGACCTCTCAAGGAACAGGCACAGCCCGGACACTAGTTTTAATTACAGAAATACACTCCTGGCCACTGCTAAAACCTGGACATGAAGGCTCAGAGACAAATCCAGGAACATCCCCCAGCTGAGCACCTGGGTTTCAGAGGGAGCGTAACCCCATCCAGAACAGGCTGAATCCCTATTCCTTGCTCTGCTTTTCAACTGAGCAGAAACATCTCTGTCTTGTGTGGATTAAATTTCAGTTTATTCACCCTCATCCAGTCTATTACTGAGACCAGACACTGATCTAGAGGTGAAACAGCTTCCTCATATTTGGATGGAAAGGAAAGATAGTATTGGGTGTCATCCACATACTGGTAACAGTGAACCCCAAAACTCAAGACAATCTCCAGTCATTTTATATAGATATTAAATAGCATGGGGCCAAAACAGAACCCTGAGGGACCCCACTGGGCAATGGCTAGGGTGTTGAAAGGAGTCCCACCATATTCACTCCAGCTCTTAACTGTACAGAAAGCCTCTCCTCTTTTGCATCTGGACACCCTATTTTGCTGTGATTCTCCCTCTTTTCTACTCCAGTCTCTAGGTGGTCTTCCTGTATTCTTTGCCTATAGTGCTTTTACAATCCAATTCCATTGCAACAGTACTCTATAAATAACAGACATCTCAGCTGGATGACGACAGTATGGACTTGGTATTCTGCATGCTAGCCAATCCACAGAGGTGGCACTTACAATTTTATGACAGCTATCTGATCTGTTGCCTCTGTCAATTTAGGCCATGGTTTCATAGACAACTGTCACTGGATATGAATCTACTGAGTGTGGTATAGCGGTTAGAATCTAGGACTGGAACTTGACAGATCCAGATTCTACTCCCCACTTGATCATTGAATGTCCTTGGAACAGACATCATTTCTCAGTCTGACCAACTACACAGAATTGTTGTGATAATAAAGCAGGAAGAAGGAGAAACATGTACTGTACTCGGTGTTGAGCTTTTTGAAATGAAGGATACAAGGATATCTAATATAACATCTCTATAATATTTCTGTTCCTTAACAGAATTGAGGAGATTGCATGCTTATGATAACTCATTGTCCTCTGGATCTACCGAAAGTCCTCCTACTGTCTTTTCTCCACATAGGTTTATTTAAAAAAAATTATTTAGAATATTTTTGTCCAGCCTTTCTCCTTAAAAAGGACTCAAGATGGTTACTCCATTTAGTTTCAAACTAATGGCCCTTTGGTCTATTGAGGGTATTAGTGCCCCAAGCAAGGATGTCAGAGAGTAGCTGAAAGACAGAAAAACACACATATATGGACATTTTTCTTTAAAACTGTGTTGCATTGTGCTGCAGTGATACACTGTGGAGAAGGATTTGATAGCAAGCATCAATATGCAGATACAATAGTACTCCAAATATATGAGTTCTCCTTTATCAAGTAGCATTTTACAGAATTCTGTAGAAGCATAAAAATGGAGGAATATTTTGCTTCTATTCCTTTTTAAACAAGATTACCAATGCTCACAAATTTCTTCTTATTAAAGATAGTAAGTATGTGAAATGTTAAAACTTCAAATACGGAAGAAAATGAAACTGACAAATTTGTCCATCCAGACCTGGATTTAGAATTCTATTTTTGATCATGCAAATAAGGATTGCTACCTCTTTTTTTTTTTCTCCTAAAAGGCTTCTCATTTTCAACACGTATGTGGCAGGCAGATGCAACATTGCCCCACATGTCATGGGTTAACAGCTGTACTTGTAAATAGGGGAGAATTTTATTACAGTTGTTTCTGAAGAATCTGCGAAAACGTGCACATCTGACATATTTCGGGACAGAAAGAACTCAAGGGTTTAAAATTTCAGATGCAGGAGAAAGCAAAACTGACTTTCCTGTTTCTATGTGAGTTTTCCCAGTTCTTTTGCATTCCTTCACTCCAGGGAGTGTTCCTTCTGTGAAGGCATGTTTATGATTACTTTTATTACAACTACTCTCAGTTTCAGCCTCCACTCCCCATGTGAATTGAAACATTTACAATTTTGTCTTGTAAGGTTTCCATTCTTGCCTCTGTTACAGCAGCAGCTTGTTTAATTTGGATTATCCTTTCCAAATCAGATCACCGTCACTCACAACTCTTGCAATCCCTTATTCTTTGAGCAATTTGGTCTGTAATCAGGGACTCAGGATCCCAAGTTTCATTCACAGATTTAAGGAATTCGGGGAAGAATTTTCTCCATCCCGGTTTTTACTACACCTTGGGGCAAAGTATGGTATCTCGTTAAAAAATTCATTGCTCTTGGGTATCCAACGTAAATTATTCCTCAATTTTCTTTGAAACTGTTTTTTTTTTAAACAGCCTATTCCTCTGGGTTTTTATTGCAAGGCCAGCTCTGTCATTAGACAGAGGGAGGTACCAGCCTCAGGCAAGATACTGCCAGGAACAATGCACAGCCCGGGGAGGGCTCACTACTGCAGCCTTGCCTTCTATCTCAAAACCCTGCCTCACCCTGCTTACACACTATCCAATTCATCACTTTCTCTCCCTCATGTAGCAGTTGGGGGAAGAAGGAGGTACTAAATGCATCTTCTTTCTCTGCTCCCGCTTTGCCACTATACCAGCTGCTCCTTCCCTCTCTCTTTTGCTTATGCAGTGGCGATACTGTCCGTCCCTCCTCCTTTAAAGGAAACACGAGCCATTCAAAAGAGCTAGCACATCTTTCAATGGCAGGCCATCTCTTTATGAAGAGAAGCAGCCTACCACGGTGTCCAAGAAGCAGAGAGGTGGAGAGGGGCAGGAGCTACAAATGTGAGGTGGCAGAAGTGCCCTCCTTCGGCTTCAGGTGGTAAGGTAGCTTTTGCCACTGCTACTTAATGGCGTAGCATGATTTCACCATGCTGTGCAATATGAAGAAAAGTGGCTCTGTTTTGAGAATCACTGTTTCCCCCACTGTTCCTATGACTGGCTAGCATGTGTAGAAGGAAAGCCAGTTTGTACCTTTCCTAGAATTTTGCTGCATTGTCACTTAAGGTCAAACTAGACGTTAGATAGACATTTTAGCATGTTTTTAGAGGAATTATTCCTTCAAACTATGAAAGAGGTGTTTATCACAGCATATGAATTTCATCACATATTTAACATGCTATCTTGTGTTTGTTATGCATTTGTGTTTGGCCACTTGAAGGTAAGGAGAGACTCAATTTGAAAATCCGATTGCTAAGGTATACATCATAGAAAACCCTATTAAACTAACAGAATGAATTTCAGCAGAGTTTAACAGGAAGTTCTACCATTTGGACATGAAAAATAAGATGTAGAAATACAGAGCAAGTGACATCTGGCTTGGCAGTGGTACATATGAAAAATATCTGTAGTTTTAGTAGACCACAAGCTAAATATGACACAATAGTATGGTGTACCGGCAAAACAAACAAATGAGTAAACAAATAAAGAAATCTAAATCAGTTCTATATAGCATCCACAGAAATATAGTGTCCAGATCAAAGGAAGCAATAATACTATTCCATTCTGCTTTGGTGGGAATATTGTGTCCAGTTCTGACCACCACAATTTAAGAAGGATATTAGCAAGCTGGAATACTTCCAGAGGGAGGAGACCAGAAAGGTGAAAAATCTGGAAACCAAACCCTATAAGAACAGTTGAGGAGATTCAGTGTATTTAGCCTAGAAAGGAGAAGACTGAGAGGTCATATGCTAGAGCTGTCATGGAATACCTGAAGAGCTTTCCTGTGAAAGATGAAGGAAGTTTGTTTCCTATTATTCCAGAGACCAGAACCTCAACATATCACTTAACCCTTTCAACTCTAACATTCCATTTGCTTGATCCTTAGCAGGGCTGGCCTAACCATTTGACAGAATGAAGTAGCTATCTCAGGTTTGGGACCTGGAGGACAGGGAGTGACGCCAAGAAGGCTGCAGATTAGCATGGTAGCAAACTCATAGTATTCAACTCAGAACTGGATAATTTTTCTCTGATGACATGCCTTTGCCATTTTAGGCTTACTTAGCCAACCTATGCCACAGAAATTTAGTCATGTGAATAAGCCTTGGCTTTCTAACTCCTTCACTGTCCCTCAAATAATTTATAACATGGATAGAAAAGCATTATCACTGTAACAAACAGCTCACAATGTCTCCCTTCTGCTGGATTTACTATGCTTGATAAAAAGAAATGTAACCTTGGAGTTTGTGCCTTAGCTGCTTTGTTTTGGCACCATGTTCCCTGCTAATGCTCAAGTTAATTGTTTTGTTTACTAGATTGCCTAGTGACAGTCTTGAGGTAAGGAAGGACACTATCTCCTCCAGGAAACTTGTACACACTGTCTAAGACCCAGCAATTGTGGTACATTGTGTTTGCTCAAGTCTTTAAACAATTATAATTGGGTAGATGAGGCAGGTGGGTCTGGGATGATGACAGGAGGGTGAGCAGATAAGTGACACACTGAACAAAAGGTTCTGAATAAGCATTGGAGATAAGGGACAATGTTTTGACTGGAAGTTCACCCTCTGTTTTTGAATCAAATAGAATAATATGGATTGCAGAAGAGTGGGGGAAAGATTAGATAAAGGGAAGTTCAATGTGGCCACCAGAACCTCTCAGCTACCAGTACTATTCCACTCTCACTGGGTTGGCATGAGTTGGATCCTCCCTGATCTTGATGATGGTTAGCATTACAAAAGCATGCCAACCTCCGGGATGCCTCAAGAGACTCCCAAAGTGTCTTTCGGTTAGCATTTTTCTTCATGGCTGTTATAATGTTTGTTTGTGGCAAATCCATCCTGTGTTCCAGGTCAGGATTTCAAAACACTCTGACTTAATCACAAACTTAAGCCACCCCATGACTTACAGTAGACTGCAAAGAGGACAGGGGGAGGGTGGCTGGATCTTGTCTGCAGCTGAAAGCAAGGAAGAGATTAGAAAATACAGCTGTTCATCAGTTATGCTTAGTGTGAGTCCAGCATTATTTTTATTAAACAAAGAGACAAGAAGTCAACAGCCAAAATTATCCCATTTATCTGCAATATCGTGCCATAGAATATGTATTTACTTCCCAACTTGCTCATATTATTGATAGGCCACCTCAACAAGCCCTAGATTTAATTTAACTAGTAATCTGCAACATATGAAACTTGCTTCCAACCCCTTGAAAATTAATTCTGAATAAACAGGCGCAGCATTGTTCTGTTAGGTCCTAACCAAATGTAAAAATAAATATGTCACACATGGTGCTGGTTTTAAAATAAAACACCATTTAATAGTGAAGGAAGTGGTTCCATCTCTCTCTTCCTCATAGTTTTTTTGTTTTTTGTTTTGTTTGTTGTTTTTTTGCAAAAATTACTTCACTGGTGGTACAATTAACAATAGAAAAAGTTTCTATTGGCACTAATGGAGCATTTACGAGTAAAATGCAGCAGTTAAAAAACAAAACAGAATACTGTATTGGCATGGGACAGAAGGGTTCAAGCATGTATACTAGATTGCTTATTTAAAACAGTCAGCTTTCTAGTTCAGACTTACCAATACATTTTTATATGACAAAACAGTTGTTGCATGTAATATGATATATAGCTCTATTACAGCAGGTATAGCTTAGTAGGTTGGAGCACATGGCTGGAGCAGGTTCATGGTTAGGAGTTCAAATTCTCCCTGTCTTTCCCAGGAGATGAACCAGCTGAAATCCACTATAATCAATATAAGTTGGAATCAACTTGATGGCACATTAATAATAATACACACATATGTTATAAAAATAATTATGGTTCCATCATAACGAAGGCAGTGTGAAGTTGCCATTTGTACAGCATTTGTTATCTACTGGAATTTTGTTTTTATGAGAAATCAGGCATGATCACAAAAATGTGGAGGAAGTAACAGATAAGAGGATGTTGCTAGGACACAGCTCATTGATTTAAAATATTGTAGCCTGGTAAACGTGGGATTAAAAGATTGGTAATTCTTCACCAAAAACTATGATCATGGCCACTGGTCCCATCAACTCCTGGCAAATAGAAGAGGAAGATACGGAGGCAGTGACAGATTTTACTTTCTTGGGCTCCATGATCACTGCAGATGGTGACAGCAGCTACAAAATTAAAAGACGCCTGCTTCTTGGGAGGAAAGCAATGACAAACCTAGACAGCATCTTAAAAAGCAGAGACATCACCTTGCCAACAAAGATCTGCATAGTCAACGCGATGGTTTTTCCAGTAGCGATGTATGGAAGTGAGAGCTGGACCAGAAAGAAGGCTGTCCGCCAAATAATTTATGCTTTTGAATTGTGGTGCTTGAGAGTCCCCTGGACTGCAAGGAGATCAAACCTATCCGTTCTGAAGGAAATCAACCCTGAGTGCTCACTGGAAGGACAGATCCTGAAACTGAGGCTCCAATACTTTGGCCATCTCATGAGAAGAGAAGACTCCCTGGAAAAAACCCTGATGTTGGGAAAATGTGAAGGCAAGAGGAGAAGGGGACGACAGAGGACGAGATGGTTGGACAGTGTTATCAAAGCTACCAACATGAACTTGACCAAACTCCGGGAGGCAGTGGAAGACAGGGGGGCCTGGCGTGCCCTGGTCCATGGGGGTCACGAAGAGTCAGACACGACTTAACAATTAAACAACAAAAAATTCTTCAGGGCCAATTCAGTCTACCAATGTGAGAGCACGAGCTTTTACTTATTCTTACTTATGAGTTGTATAGACAAACTCTGAGGTTGTTCCACCTGTCTGTACAAAAGCTGGTGAAAGTCGCAGCTGCATCTTACTTTCACAGTGGCATGAGGATATTGCTCTCCACAATACTTGTGGGCAGCAGACTAGTTTAGGTGGTAAAGGCTGGGCCTGTTGCATTAACCATGACTGTTTCTCTCTGTATGGTGGCACATGCATGCACATTTGCAAACACAGACACAGGTTCACATTCCTTATTTCTGTGCAGTTAATCACATAACTGAAAACTTTAAAACATTACTTCTGGACTGCATCTCCAAAAGTGGTCGTGCTTACTGGGGGCTTGTGGGAGTGGCAATAAGAAAAACTAAGTTTCCCCAGCTCTGATATTATCATGCCAAAGGGCAAAATAAGGCTGGATTACACCTCAGTCTTTCCAGTGCGGGTGGATGCCCTAAATGCTGCATAAAGAGTGGGTATCTAAATTCACATTTTTCCCTCTTCTCTACTTCTTTCTGGCTGGCATTAGGACAAAGAGATCAAGCTGATTTCCTAAAATGCTCTATGCCATCTTAGATCAGATATGAAAATAACATGTAATGAAGGATTGTTAGTGGTTTTGCTGGAAAATTTGAGCTCTTCTCTTTGCTCCCTGACACGATGAGTCTGTTTACAAGCCCATGTGATCTAGCTATTCTTAAACAAACTTTGCCATGTGTACTTAAAAGCCTAAATCAGGAATGGATGGGGCTTGGATTATTATTATTTTTTAAAATCCTGTAGTTTATAGACAAGTTCTATTAGTGTTTATTTGGAAACAAGTCTCAGTGATTTCAATGGGCCTTACCCTCAAATAAGTGTGCACAATGATCCAGGCCGACTTGTAGCCCAGTCTTATTCTGGATCAAAATGAATGTGACTATAACTCTGTAGAGGATATGGCTAACAATCTGTTTCTTTAAAGATGATGTGTTAACTAACAGCCTTGCTTTCTTACTTTTCAGGCTCTTGACATTTTTGGCAGATCACCAAGTAAACCTTTGGGGGGGGAAAAGCCGGGACACTGCATACTTGATGATCAAAGTTTAGTAACTCACCCGGCCTCCCACCTGTAGAAAGTGAACTGCAGAAAGCCATGCCAAAAAGCTAAATTATAGACACAGCCCTAAAGCATACATTCTGATTGTGGGATGTGGCACAAGATGCCCCCTCTCAAATACCAGCTCAGCGTAAACTTTCCTGCTAATTGAGCCTTTTGGACTCAGTGGCTACCATACGTCTGCTGTGCAGCTCAAGCCACATTAATCCAAGGCAGCAATTGCCAAATGATGGGTTGCAACCATCAGTTGAGTCATGAGAGGTTGGCTGTGGTGAGGGCTTGGGAATACTTGGCAGCACTCCAGGAGGAATTTCAGAGGTGGACTGTGTATAAACAGAGAAGCTGATCTTGCATAACTCAGTATATGCACACACGCGCACGCACACACACGCACACACACACACACACACACGCACACACACACACACACACACACACACACACACACACACACACACACACACACACACACACACACACACACACACACACACACAACAGACACAGACACAGACACAGACACACACACACACACACACACACACACACACCTACCTCTCAGGTCCCAGGAGGACAGAAGCTTATTGGGACAACCAGGAAGATGAAACAGCTGAAGGATGGTATGTTCAAAGTTCCAGTCTGGTCTTACTCCAGTTGTTTTAAAAGCATGTGAGAACACCCACAGCAAAGGGAGCATGTGAGGCCCACCCTTTCTGTCATTGCTTTAATTACACAACATGGGTGTTCTGAATACAGGGAGGCTGTTGTATCAATGTAAGCTCTCCATGTGAGCCAGAACCTATCAAGTAGCGGCCAGTAGCATCATACTGAAACATCACCCAATGCCCATTGACTGAAACTAGACAATATGGTGACATGCCTAACGCAGGCCTTTTGATTAAGTGTTGTGAGAGATAGCAAGCCTCACAATGCTTGAGGTGTACTTGCACTACATTTCTGTGTCACTTTGATATCGCTTTAACTGTGACGGCCTCTTCAAAATCCTGGGATTTGTTGTCTGATGTGGGGACTTGGAATTTTTTGATGTAGTTCAGGATAGTGCTCTACAACTCTCTACAGAGAATTGTTTTCAGAGTAGCCTGCCCCATCAACATCCTGATAAGCTTTACTCTGAATCAAGTATTTCTGAGAATTCAGAGGAGCCCTCTGAATGTTAGCAGTTTCATCTGTACGTCACCAAGGAGTCATGACATTTTCAAAGTAACATATGACAGGGAGTCAGAAAGGAGGCGCCTTATTCCAAGTCAAGTAGTACTGAGATTTCGGCTCTAAACATGGTGTGATCACTTACACAACTGTCATACCTCAAAAAAAAAAAAAAAAAAAAAAAAAAAAAAAAAAAAAAAAAAAAAGAGGACACAAATGACCAAAAAGGGTTGATTTACATAAAACGTGCATGTGCCTACATAGAAATAACGGCCATTCTTTATAGAAATACAGTACATCTTACCATACATATTGGGCAACTTTGGAATTCCTTCTCTCTTTCTTAAGGTGATTCTTTGCCTTAAAACCTGATTTGAGATAGTCCTTCCAACTGAGGACTGTCCTCTGTAAAACAGGCCATATAGCCACCCTAGAGAGACAAGAGAGGACGTCAGGACTGTGTAATAAATTAGATTAATATATACAAATGCAGTTGGTGTACTTAGAATAATAGAATAGTGAAGCTGGAAGGGGCCTATAAGGCCATCACGTCCAACCCCCTGCTTGATTCAGGAATACTTACAAGCCATCTGAGGACAGAAAAAAAGATCAAAGCAAAGGTAAAGCACCTCTTTCCAGCATTTGGAAAAATTATTTTAATTGAACTAACACCCATGCTGGCTGAGACATTTTCAGAGTTGTAGTTCTAAGCCAAGAAACTAACTTTTCTAAGTTCTGTCTCTTTCAAAGCAAGAGCCAAGTTTAATTTCAGAGAGATTTTCAGGGACTTGTTCTAGTGATGGACGAGGTCAAAGCGAAAAGGATGTCTCCCAGTACCAGTGTATTATTATATACAGTTCTTAATGCTATTGATTAATGGATTTAATTTAATTTAATTTAATTTACAGTATATACCACCCATCTGACTACTAAAGCCACTATTAACTAAAAGAGGCATTTCAGCTGCTGACAATAGGGGGAGCTATACAAACATTGGAAAATCACCAAATTATGGTGTCTTGAGCCTGCTGAGGCATAAAGGGGCAGGACTGCTTTTTGGTCACAACAGTGGTGAACTGGACTTACATAGACTACAGCTGAAGAATGCACAGTTAATTGGCCTTTTTCTATAATCCTTCAAATCAGGGTTTTTTTAAATGATGGATATGTTTGGAATTTTGAGTGCGTATTGTGGGTGCTTTCAAGAAATGGCTGCCATGTGAAAGCCTGTCCACAAAATGGCTGCCATTGTTTTTCTTTCTTTTCCTTTTTTTAAAGAGACAAATATTGTATGCATTTTCTACATACCTGAGATGACCTCAACCAGATTCCCCTCTTGTTCCTCAAAATAGCACTTTTTCAGCTACAGAGCCAGTGTGGCATTGTGGTTAGAGTGATAAAATATGATTCACAGGACTAGACTTAAGACCCCATCTGACCATTAAAGTTACTGAGTGTCCTTGGGTCGGTCATACTTCCATATGGATCTACCTCACTGGGTTGTTGTGGGATAAAATGGAGGGAAATAAAGCCATGCCCATCACCTTGAGCCTATTGACAGGGTATAAATGAAAAATGAAAGGCTAAATAAATACATTCTTTTCCACACAAACTACTTGAGTTCAAGATTAGAGGGAGTAATTCTTCAAGCATGTTTTGCATACAGAAGCATAGTATTATGTGAAGCAATCTTACAAGTGTGCATTTTCCCAACAGAGCTAAATGGAATATATATATAAATATTTTTCCATTGTTCTTAACACATGCTATGCTATTCAGCTCAAAATGCCAAAAATGTAAGAACATTTTAATTAGTAATAAAATGGAAAACATGTCATGAAGGTGACAGGAAATTTTCCCTTTCTCAGTGAAGAGAAATGGGCCTTAATGACCTTAATTTTAAAAAAAAGAATGTTTGTACTTCGGGCCTATAAGTCAAGGCAAAAATAATTAGCTTTTTGTTATCATCTCTTCACTATGATACAAAACAGGAATTGGTTTATTGGTTTAGACACCTAAGGGGTCAGGCTCATGGCACAAAACGTTCCTAATGCTTTCCTAGTAAGCAAGTCACAAAGAACCTTGAAGGTTTCCTTCCTTTCAGCTTACGTGCGATCATCATTTGTTTTTTTACTTCTTTTAAATCTGGGCAGTAAAGTTATACATAGCCAATTTCTGGATAGTCAGCAACGATTATAATCTTGTTCTTCAGATCTCCCCCTTTCTCTTTTCTTCAAAGGGGGCAGTTGTTTCAAACAGTTAAATAGGGGGCAGTTGTTTCGAACAGTTAAATAAATAAATAAATAAATAAATAAATAAATAAATAAATAAATAAATAAATAAATAAATAAATGGTGTTGTCATCAACATTTCCCCTCAAGAAAAATTCATAGCAAATTTTCCTGAGGTAAAAACTTATGAAGGACATTAAAAATATTTTACTGAAATCCATCAGATTTTCTCAAAGCAAGGGGGGGTGATGCCCTCTTTCTTGAAGTGGTTTGGCGATTAGACCCTTCAAAGCAACTTTTCCTTAGGATCTTGTCTGGAAAACAAGTCCTTGAACCTTATTGTTTGTCCCTTTTATGGCTGTCTGCAACCACCGCATCCAGGTGGAGGAGGATGGCTGGGCCTTCTCAACCATAGACTCCATGGACTCAATACTATAACTGTAGTTGCTGTTAAATTAGAAGCAAGGAACATGATACAAAATTCAGTCGGGTACATTGCTCCTCCTTTTCCTGCCAGCCCATAGGGGCTTGTTTGCTGTCACCAGCCCTCCGTCAGCCTCAGTTGAGCCCCAGTTCTGTTCACTGGGGCCCCCTCAGAACCTCCAGTCTGGGGCTGGTTTCAAGGTCATAACACTAACCCCAGAGAGTTAGTGCCCTTTAGAGGAGGCCAGTATGACAGGCCAGTAGAGGTTTCCTCCATCCCGGAAGCTCATCCCACTCCTGGAGGATCGGCTGCAGCCACTGGTTGCGTCCTTTGCCAACACTGGGTTGGGGTGGCGCTTAGAAAGGGTGACCCCTGGCGATCCTCCTTTGTGCCTTTGCCAGAAAGAAGCCCCCCTTGCTTATTCCGGGGTCCTGAAGCAGCAATGGTCAGTCTTCGGGTGCAGAACATCCCGGAAGCTCATCCCACTCCCGGAGGATCGGCTGCAGCCACTGGTTGCGTCCTTTGCCAACACTGGGTTGGGGTGGCGCTTAGAAAGGGTGACCCCTGGCGATCCTCCTTTGTGCCTTTGCCAGAAAGAAGCCCCCCTTGCTTATTCCGGGGTCCTGAAGCAGCAATGGTCAGTCTTCCTTGTGGGTGCAGAAGAAGGGGTGCTCCTCCGATGCCTCAGCCCATTCTTCTATCTCTGAGTCAGTGAAGGATGAAAAGCCCACTTCCTCCTCCTTTTACTCTTTTCATCCTGGCTTATGCCATCCCACCCTGGATCCATCTAATTCCAAATTCCTTGCTGCTGAGGGTGCCTTGCTGCTGAGGTCTCCAGGACGTTCACTGGGGGAGTGCACAGGCAAGGGATAGGATGGAGCATCCCCCTCACACTGTCTTTCTTCCTCTTCCTATATGCTGTTCCTCTTCCCACTTTACAACCCTGTAAAGTAGGTCAGACTTGGAGACTGTTAAGGTGGGCTTATTTTTGACCATCATGGAGATTAGAACCTGGACCTCTGAAGTGCCAGTTTGGCACTCTTAACTGCACTCCAATTGCCCTGACTGCAATGATGGAAGAATGGACAGAAACAGCAGTTGCCTCATTCTGATATACCACTTCTCAGGGCCAAAAGCAGATATAACGTGGCTGTTGCTTATATCAGAATGTCATGTGCACTGCATCCCTTATATCAGAATATTATGTGCACTGCATCCCTTATATCATGTGCACTGCATCCCTTATATAAGAATGTCATGTGCACTACATCCTTTATATCAGAATACCATGTGCACTGCATCCCTTATATCAGAATATCATGTGCACTGCATGTAGTGTCACTGGTGGCACAGGTGACCATGATCAGTAGCTTAGGTGGCCATACCATTGGTCTGCTAATCCTATACATAAACTGGGCAGTGCACCATATATTTGAATATCTTCTGAATCCTTAAATGCATGAGCATGTCTACACGGTGTCTAAGCCACAGTCAAACTGAATCCTTAAATGCATGAGCATGTCTACATGGTGTCTGTTTAAGCCACAGTCAAATTCCTCTTAAACTATTGTTGAGGGATCAAACGAGGTTAGCATGGTAAGGAATGCTGTAACTCTGCCTAGTCTGGGAACCATGTGTGAATGTTACTGAGTATAAATTTAAAGAAAGTAGCGGAAGGTAATAACACTTCCTGTATGTTTAAATGCTCATAATAACAAAGGAATGCAAAACCTCACATTGTCTTTATCAGAGGAGATTGTGCTGGTCTAGCACTACAAAGTACACAGAGTGTGTTTCCTTAAGTGACCCATAGTTTTGCATTAAAAAACATTTATGTATTGAATTCTGCCTAAAGAATACTAGTTATCAGAGAGCTGAAAAGTGCAATCAATCCATTAATCATTACACTATGACAGTCTTGTTTGGTTTAGAACACATGGAAACGGTCCATCATTTATTTTCCTAATTGTTTACCAGGAAATAAATGTGGCATAGGAAAAACAGACTAAAAGACTAGATATGAGGAATAACCAGAAAACTTCATATGTCAAGCCTTTCAAATGGCCATTGCCAACAAACTGTTTTGTACTATTCTTACTCAGAAAAAGGGATTTAGTCAAATATTTGCTGTTGCATATTGATTGTTCTTCATCAGAAGGAAAGAGTTCAGATTAGATTCTAGATGAGGCAAAGGTGATAAAAAGGTTTTGTTTTGCATGCTCCCTCTTTAAAGAAAATGCTGCCTACCTTCCTCTCAATTTGCAGAAGGGGAAAAAAGTGCAAAACAGATACGTTTTGTCATCTCTGTATCACCTGGAATCCAAAAATCTCCTTCTCTTTTTGGTAGTCTGGTTTCATAAGCCATATGCAGAACATCTGGCCAGTTTTTTAACTATTTACCTCTCCACTAATTTTTATTCCATCTTTACCAATTGAAGCGTTCTGAAGTAGCCCTTTCTACCTCCTCTCATCTATCGGATACAATGAAGGAAATCATTCTAGAACATGAGGATCCCTTTCCTGCCTTGTTTCATACTGCATTTGCTCATCTGCGTTTATTATTTATTCATTTCTTAGATTTATATACCACCCTAATAGTGCATACACTATTCTGGATGGCTTACAAAGGTTAAAACCAATTATAATAATATATTAAAGGAGCAATTAACAAACCTCTTTTTAATATCTTCATAAGCCTCCATCCCTACCCCAATATCTTTCAGTTCACATGAACTTTTGTTACAGCTCATCATGATGCCTCTTCTGCTGTGCCTCAATGTTTCTCATGTTGTGCACTAATGTTGTCAAATTCCAACTTCTGAGAATTTTCCTCCCAGTTTGTATGCACTGAATTATCAACAGTCAGAATCCTCTTGGGCATTTATTCCAGGGCCAGGTATTAACTGTGTAAACTGTGGTGGCAAACTCCCACTTTAAAAAGTTGCCACTCACATTCTTGGTTGTGTGCCAATCATTCAACTTGGTGTAAACCAAGAACATGAATGGCAACTTGTTTATTAGCAGTAATCTGCTGCCATAACTTATACAATTGCATTTCCCCACCAATGTAAATGCTCAATAGAATTCTGGCCATTCTAAAGCTCAAGGCATATACAGTAGGACCTCTGTATCTTCAGGATCAGTATCCGCTGTTTCACTTATTCACTGCCTGAAAATATGAAAAGAAAAAAAAATCCAGAAAAAAACTTTTTACATGTAGTACCAGATCTGGCCACTAAAGAACTTGCTATGAGTTACTTCTTAGTGAAGAATATATAACATGGTCTCTAGTGTGCTCTAATAGCCAGTACTGGTAAGGTGTGTGAAAATAATTTTTCTTGTTTTCCTTTTTTTATTATATAGTGATTATCTGCAGTTTTCAGTATTCATGGGGGTACTTAGAACCAATCCCCTAGGGATTTGAAGGTCCTACTGTATACATAAATACAAGTACAATGCATAGATAGTTTGTCGTGTCTATGCACATGTATTTTCTCACAAACCAACATGCTGTATCCCCACTATTATATTATGAGAAGAATGAATTATGATTTAAAACAACCCAATAGAAGTTGGCAGCTACAGACTATCATTCTGAATTTTATTCTGCCAGCCAGCAGGAAAGCTGTTGTACAACACTAGAGTTTCAAATTTTGCTGGCGCGAAACTACAGCAGACATTTCCAGAAAAATCAAACCAAAACAGCATGGGTCACTCAGGGCTCTGTTGCATCAGCACCATTTCTGTTAATCAAGACAAACCACAAGCCTTTGCATGAAGTTTGAATAACACATATTGCAGGGTTTGTGCTGAATCAATAAACAACACAAAAGCCAGTAAAAATGATACTTTTTGTGGAATGTTTAAAGCACTTAACACCAAGGAGTTAAAATGAAGGAGTGACTCTAATGAAGTGGGCTGCAGTCCACGCAATATTATGCCAAATAAAATGTGCTAAGTTTTTTGGGTGCAAGAAGAGTTTGTTGTTTTCACATAGTTGTGGTATCTGTAAGCTAGGAGGGCTCACAGCTACCCCATAAGTAACTT